TCAGGTAGAGAGTCTTGTTCTAGACAACTGGATATACGTACATGCACATTAGGTAAAATAACATTAATAAGTACACCCTGAATTATAAGCCTCCAACTGTTCACAACCTATAAAGTAAATGCAAGATTCCATCTGTCTCTGCCCACCTTTTCTGCCACCACTGGATTGACAGAACCAACTAATGGTCTTCAGTAGAAACTGTTCAAAAAAAAAAAAATTGACTTCATTCTAGATAAATGTTTGTAGAATCACAGTTTAATTAATTTCTTTTATTTGTACATAAGCCATATTTTCAAAGTTCTTCTTGTCTCCTTTCTCTTCCATACTTTATTTCCTTAAAAATAAAAATCACCTATCTCTTCATATCTTAATTTTCATGTCAAAAAATGTTTGTTTATGCCTGATGCCAACAGAATTAGCAAAACACTAAGAAAAAGAAAGATAATAATATATTTTGAAATAAAAATAATTATAATGAAGAACCAACCATTATCAATAGACTCTAAGAGCCTTAAACTTGTCGAGGAGCCTCCTTAAAATAATTTCTATTGTCTCTATCAACCTCTAATACTCTAGTAAATTAATATACTTTACCCTAACCTGAAGCAATGAGAAACAATTACAGAATGTCATTTTTTATATTTTAATTAATTACTATATTTTAATGATATCATTTCCATATTTTCTAATATAAAAGTATAAAAATAAAAGATACAGTTGGGGAAAATTAGGCAAAATTAATCGTCTGTAAGTTGAAGAGTTTCCACTAGACGATTTCTTAGTTAACTCCCTGTTCTACAATCCTCTGACTCTATAATATTGTGTGTATGGGGAAATGATGCTAGGTAATCAACTTAAAAATGGGACTTTGGGCTAAAACCTATTTATGAGTTATAATCTCTGTAAGTATAAAAAATATATAGTCAGCACAACTACATCTGTATTTGAGGATAAGTGGCTATATATTAGTAATATTAATCACTAATAAGTACTGAACTCTATAATCCCAGTCACAAAGCTAATTGTTTGACAAGCACCACTCTTATACAAATGCATAAATGCACGTGCATCATCACTGTTTGTCTTTTATATTTCCAAATTCAGACATGTTTAAAGGCTTTTGCATGAAATTACAAGAATAATTGGCCACATAAGAAAATATAGTTGCAAATACATAGCCTCAAGTTTGTTTATTTGAAACTTAGGAGAACATACATTTCCTTTCAAACCATATTACTCTGTTTATTACTAAGTAAACTGAACTTTAAACATAAGAGCTGACTGATCATAAAGTACTGTGACAAAAGGAAGAAAATCTCCAAAGCATGGAATGTCAAACCACAGAAGTTGCTTTAAAAAAAAAAAAAAAAGTTTAAAAATAATTAGCTCTCTAGACAATAGTACCAAAATAAATAAAGGGTGTCTCAGTCAGTTAAGCATCTACCATCGGCTCAGATCATGATCCCAGGTCCTGGGATCCAGCCCCACATCTGACTCCCTGCTGAGCAGGGAGTCTGCTTCTCTCTCTCCCTCTGCACCGCGCCCCCCATGCTCATTCTCTCTCTCAAATAAATAAATAAATAAATAATCTTACAAATAAATAAATAAATATCACACTATAAATATGCAGCTATCCTCCTAAACAACAGGTAGAAAACCTACATATATTTTTAAAGCATCAAGAAGATATTTAGTTCTACTGAAGATGAGAATGTAACTCAATTCAAAACATTGAACCCTATGCCAAATGTCAAGGGGTAGGAAGCAATAAGATAAACAAATCTTCTGCCCTCATGGAACATATAGTCTACTAGAGATGAAAAGTCCTACATCCAAGAATTTAGAAATCAAAACTGACATCATTCCTCTTTGTTACACAAAATTTTTTCTTTTACTTGTGATAAAAAATCCCAGAATAACATATTAATATACTGCCTTTATTGTCAGAGGAGAAGAAACATCAGACAGACACCAACTGACTGACTACTTGCATTTGGGCAGCAGCCACCACACAGTGGGGCTTGCTTTTTATACAAAGTTTATATATATACAGACACACAGGCACAAGGGTATAAAATCCCTCATATGCCCAGGTAGGGGATAAGAGTAGTTTCAACAGCTGGGATTGAGGACAGGGTAGAGGCACATAGGAAGTGGTGGAGAGTAGCAGCCTCCCCTCCATCCTCCCACCCTGGACCAAAGGAAGGACAACTCTAAGGAAGATTATATATTTAAAATATACATATATATAAATATTATATATTACATATATATAATATATAACATAAATATTATATATATATAATATATATAATCTAACCCTTGGTAGGGTTTATATACACACATATATATAATATATAATCAAACCCTTAGTAGTTTTCATGTTCAAAAATTGCAATCCTTGAGTCATTTAATTCTCAGCCTTCCTCTTTTTTTAATTATAGGAGAAAAATAATTCTTTGGTCATTTTTAAAATATAATAGATAAAGAATAAATATGAAGGAATACATTTTTCTTAAATCTCTTCCCAATTTGTGGAAATCAATTGAAAGCTTTATAATTCTGGAAGAATTCAATGTATATATTTCTGATAAACTGCATAAAGAAATCTTGGTAGGAAAAAGGACTGTATTGCCAAGCCATCATTAATTTTTTGTAATTTATTATCTTATTCTAAAAAGATACTCATTTTCAAATCTATGTTTGTATTTCTAATCTTATATTCTGTTTCTAAAACATAAGCCTAAAACCTAAACTTAAACCTAAACCAAATATATATATATATATATATATATATATATATATATATATATATATATATATACCCGAAAACATGCCCTCTCCCAGACCCCTGGTGTGTACCAATGCATCAAAAGAAAACATCCAAGAAATTCACGGGATTTGGTGTCTAAGAAAAGGCACAGTAAATGTAAAACTTAATAGAAGGAAGTCAAGCAGGACACCAGACTGGGCTTGGAACAGCTGATTGTCTGATGAGAGACCACTACTTAGGAAAGATTATCAAACCAGGAAGACAAAGGCTGATTAGATTTATGTAGACTGGATACTTTGGCAGTTCCACATCTAGATGATTCAATTTCTCTTACTATGATCACCCAAGGTGGGTGGAGGGAGAGGTCTAGAAACATGTTTTGTTTTTTGTTTTTAGTTTTTTACGTCTGGGCGAAAAAGCAAAAGGAAAATGACAGCAGAAAAGGCATTCGGCTCCAAAAGCCTGAACTAGCTTCTTATGTGTTAGAAAAGGGTACAGCATATAAGATAAATTCAACACTTAAAAACTTGGATGAGCCTTTTTGAATAGCAATAATCATTTTAAAATAACATTTATATAGCTCTCATTATGTGCCAGACCCTGTTTACTCAACATATGTTAGCTCATTTCGTCATCCCAATACCTCTGTAAAATAGGTACTATTATTATCTCCATTTTAAAAATAAGAAAACTGAAGTAAAGAGAAATTAAGTAACCAACCCAAGGTCACACATTCAGTGAGTGTCTGAGCCGGATTCAAACCAAGTGGCATGACTTGATTCTTCATCCTGTGTGGAAAGGCACTGAGAGTGAGGAGGAGGCATAAGTGGCATAGGAAAAAAAAAAATCATTCTTAGGAGAAATCCAAGAAATATAAAAGAAGCAAGTCCTCCTCCTTTTCTCTGAAAAAAAAAAAGAAGAAATGGCAAGATCAATGAAGATACAGAAATAATCTGAAATCAGAAACATAAGAAAATCAAAAACACAAAACAAGTGTTGGTAAGGATGTAGAGAAAAAGGTACCTTCTACACTATTGGTGGGAATTGTTAACTGGTGTAGCCACTCTGGAAAACAGTATGGAGGTTCCTCAAAAAGTTAAAAATAGAATGATTTTAATCATAGAACCTATGATCCAGGATTATATTACTGGGCATTTACCCCAAAAATACAAAAACACTAATTCAAAGGAATACATGCACCCCTATGTTTACTGTTTACAATAGCTAAACTATGGAAGCAGCCTAAATGTCTGTCATAGATAAATGGATGAAGAAGATATGGTGTATACACACACACACACACACACACAGTGGAATATTATTCAGCCATAGAAGAGAATGAAATCTTGCCATTTGCAATAATGGATGGAGCTAGAGAGTATAATGCTAAGTGAAAAAAGTCAGTCAGAGAAAGACAAATACCATATGATCTCACTCATATGTGGAATTTAAGAAACAAAACAAATGAGCAAAAGGGAAAAAGAGAGACAATCCAAGAAACAGAGTCTTAACTATAGAGAATAAACTGATGGTTACCAGAGGAGAAGTGGGTGGGGGCAGCGGGGGGCATAGGTGATGGGAATTAAGAAGGGCACTTATCATAAAGAAGAGAATAGAATAGAATAGAATAGATAGGGGCATTTTCTCAGTGGTCCCATTAAAGATGAGGCAAGGTCCTCTCTTAATAAAGGAAAGTGGAAGAGTGGATGGACACTGATATGTAAGAAACTAACTAGTTTTATAATTTCAAAAATCCAAACTGGGAAACCAAGTTGGCAAAACAATAATTTTTTTTTCAAATTATATCTTCAAGTATCATATACCTTAGGAATCCTGAGCTTTGAGCCCTAATATTTCCTAATTCTTTGGCTCCAGTATCTTTCAAGTGGGTATCTCCTAAGCACTGCTGAAGTACTTATTTCACTCAGGATTTGTGTTTCCAACCATTTAAAGCTTTCTTCCCTTATGACTGTTTTTTAAGTACTAGAAAGGGCTCAGCTAGGGATGAATTATGTTTGCTTCACACTCAACTGTTTCCTTAAAATATAACATATATTCTGCCCCTTTAATCTGGAGAAATAACCTCCAGGTTTTCAAATGTTTTTTATCTATGTGGTAAATCAAGTACCTATGGAGTCAACAATAGTTTACTACTATACTTTATCCATAAAACAAACATGTTCATATTCATCTGAATGAAAAAAAAAGAAACACATGAGTAACTTACCTGGATTGTAGTCCTCTTATATGGCACAATGCATTCAACTGGCCATAATCAATGTACTTAGACATTTTCAACTCTGAAAAAAAATCAATTAAAAATTTGAGTAATTTTCAGTAATCTTATTAACCAAAATTATAAATAGAGTTTAATTCCAAACATTCATCATAGTAAAAGAATTCAGTGACCATGGTAGTGAATTATTACCAGTCTTTGATATACAAGCAGAACTGAATAAGGTGATTAAATAATACAAAAAAAGAGGTAATGTTTTTCATTGATGTCAAATCTGGTCTGACATTGTTTGTTTTTGGAGTTTATATGTGTCATATAATGTCCCTCCTCTGGAAGAAAGCCTTTCAGAATCCCCATCCTATACCTTTAGAATGTGGACTGATAATGCCATGACAATTCAAAGAAGAGTTTCTTGAGGTCCCTGTCTCTGTCTCTGTCTCTCTCTCTGCAATACTACTAATTTTTATTCAATTCATGCAGGCCCCCATCTTACACTAGCCCTCTTCAGAGCACCTTCCAATATCTGGATTCAGTTTGCAATTCCATTTGAAGTTAATGTGTAAGCAAATCACACAATATCCCTTAAGAGCAGAAAGATAGTAATCATAGCCAAGAAGCAAACTAATTGCAATTCTCCTTCAGTGTCAGAAAGAACTGACATCCTTCAAAGGAGATGAAAAGGAAGATAGAGTATTGAGTACGATAAGCATCATTACAGTGATGGGCACTCACATCACAGGTCCTCCCCTTTCTCCAGGAGAATGCATGCTGTTGGAAATGTTGTAAAACAGAAAGCAGTAATACCAACATGCACATTATTCCTTTCCTTAGTGAAAAGGTATTGAGAAAATCAGCAGCTTAATGCACTTCTAAACTTTTTAAAATGTATTTTTGACCATATCCCAGTAGAATTTGACATGTACAAACTTATCAATTTTAATTTCAAATTATTGAATTACATTAACATTTTTAAGCCTTTTGTGATCTAAAATTAATCATCAATAACATATACTACTTTTTTAAAAATGAAATTGGGATAAAAGAAATTTAAACAGAAAACTGGTTGCTATCCACATAAATTATTACCATGTAATAAACTTGAAAATACTAATAACATGATTTAGGTTATTTTCTTACCTATAATACTCAGTTAAGTCTTATGAATCAGAAAATTACCTAATTGCATTTTAGCAACATATGGAATAATTATTTTAAATGAACCAAGTTATAGCCACATTTTATCAAAAATACTTTTAAGTATACTCATATTTCTAATACAGGATATTATATAAAATCTTAATTATAGTAGATTTTTAGATTGATGGATTAAGAAGAGATTTCTACGAAGTATTAGTTTAGTCCAATTTACCAACCGAGTTTAAAAACAGGATCAGAAATAGCCCTGGTGTCTGGTATGGACAGGAAAAGGGGATGGTTGCCATAGATATTTTTTAAAAAAAAGTTCAAGGTTTGAGAAATCCTGGCTTAAAAGGGGGATTTTAAAAATCATCCTTCAGTTAAAATAGCTTACAAAAAAAAAAAATCACAGGATGGATATTATAAGACTAAGAATTGCTAGCAGAGAATAGAAAACTTGAGAATCATCAACTTGCCTGAGAAAAGCTACAGCACTTGAGGGTAAGGCTTTGCCCTAAACTTGGCACAGCCAAGTAAACTCAAAACCAGAATAGCTTATATACTAAGTACTCACAGCCTAGAAGGACGCTTTACAATTCACCAAAAAATTTCTTCACTGATTCTCATTTCCAGGAGGTATTTGTGACAAGGGACTTTATATAAAGGGTGTTGAACAACATAATGGGTCTTATCTTTGAAGCAGTTTCATTAAAAAGAAAAAAGTCAATAGATTTCAACATGAAATTATAACTTTGTAGAGAGCAGAAGTCAAGCTTTTCTGGTGATCAAATTTAATACCAGATATTCTGGACTGAGTAAATAATTAAATGTTACTATGTTTTGAAGATAAACAATTATTTTAGCACCTAGCCAAAACTCAGTGTGGTCTTAGTCTTCTCTATAGCAAAGTCTTGGCAAACAGTAAGACAAATGGGGGGAGGGAATATATCATGAGTTTTATTCTCCAATAACTAAAAAGGTAATAAATAAATATAAGACCTCAGAGAATATAAAGTACTGTAAGATCTCTTTGAAAAATACAATTTGATAAACATACAACTGAAGCTTAAATAGTATGGACACTATACTAATAAAGGGTAAGTAAATTCTGTAAGCCTTAATGCAAATAATAAATTCTTCATAGATTCTAATAAAAAGGGTATAAATAGTAATGAGTAACAACTTGGAAGTTTCAGCAGAGAAGTGAAAGCATAAAATATACTTGTACAGACACCCTCACATAGTAAATAATTAATATTTACAATTTAAAGAATATTTAAAAATAATGGGACCTTAATATTTGAAGGTATGAATGCAACTAGTCAAAGACTTAGACATTAATATTCTTACTAATCAAATCATGATGTGAAGAGGGAAATTCTTCTCATTTTATACTAGGTTGTGAATATTCATTGTCTAAAGTTGATAAATCAAGAAGTACAGGTTTAGGTATGGAACCTATTAAATGTTTTGTGTTCCAAATTATATAACATTAAAATTCATAAAGCAAAAGTTTCAGGAATAAATGGAGACAAAATAACCTCCACAGTAACTTTCTTTCCTTCTTACCTACAAATCAAGTAACAAATGAATCACTGAGGATATAAATATAAATTACATAATTAATGAGATATATTAAACATATATTAAATTTATTCTTAAATCAAAGAGCATATCAAAACTGAAACTATAAAATATCAAGAAGGTAAAAATAGGGAATGTTTTCATGAACCTATGGAATATAATTAGTCTTTCTCTGGTGAAAATGCATTCCCCAAAATATTTATATTACAAGAAAAGACAAAAAATAAAATCAAAAGAATTAAGCATTTTGACTCAAAAAGTTAGGAAAAGAAAATTAAAACAAGAGAAATGCAAGGAAGAAAATAGAAAAGCATAAATTAATGGGTTTATAAAGCAGGAAGAACTGTAGAAAAAAATAAATTCAAGAGAGTTGGTTCTAGGGCTCAGATAGGGAAAGCACAAGATGAGCCTGAAAAATCTTACTGTACCAGAAAGCACGGAAATGGTTAGACCAAAATGAAGGCATTTCCAGTGGCCAGACTGTGAACTATCTAGACATCAAAATATGTAATGATAATAACTCATTAAAATCCTTGGAATAGGGGCACCTGTGTGGCTCAGTTGGTTAAGCGCCTGCCTTCAGCTCAGGTCATGATCCTGGGGTCCTGGGATCAAGCCCCACATCAGGCTCCCTGCTTAGCAGGGAGTCTGCTTTTCCTCTGCCTCTCCACTGTTTGTGCTCTCTCTCTCTCTCTCAAATAAATAAATAAAATCTTTAAAACCCTATGAACAAACTAGGAAATCATAATTTTACATTTATTTATTTAATATTTTATGAAAATTTAATATTTCTATACTTTCAAGATACCTCTTCACAAAAGACTTATTAATTACAAAAGGGAAAGGTAAATTCACTGCAGAGAAGTTCTCCATATAATATCCATAATCAATCCTTAATCAATATATTAAAGTAAAATCATGTGCCACCTAATAAGATGGGAAAAGAACATAGAATCACTTCTATGACATTTCTGCTAAAGATTTCCCACTTGAATCTAATCATGAGAAAGATCAGAGAAGCCAAACTGAAGTATATCCTACTAAATAACTTGTTTGTAATCTGCCAGCATTAAGGTCATGAAAGGCAAGGAAAATGGAGAAACTATTCCAATCTAGACAAGAAAATGAAATGCAAAATGAGATTTTGAATTGGATCTTTTTACTATAAAAATCATTATCAGAACAATTGGCTAAATTCAAATGGGAGGGGTCTAAGAATTAGATTACAGTATCTGTATCTGTGTTAATTTTTTTTATTTTGATGATGTATTATGATTATGTAATAAGCGTATTTCCTTGTTTTTAAGAAATACATACTAAAATATTTAAGGAAAGTGGAGTGTCAAATGGCTCTGAAAAAATAAGTTTCTCTACATTAAACTTACAACATTTAAGATTGTAGTTTCAAACTTTTTAAATTTTATTTTCAAAAATTTAATAACTTTCTCATATGACTTCTGTAGTTAGAAAATATGAGAAAAGATATCATTCATAATAACAAAGAAAAAAAGATAAAATGCCCAGAAATAAATTTTATTGTTGCATCATAAGACACTTGCAAAAACTGGAAGTAGGAAGGTTGAATATTACAAAAATACAAGTTCTTGAGCAGGAATATTCAATATCATAAAGATATCAATTCTCCATAAATGAATCTTTAAGTTTAATGCATTTCCAACTAAAATACCCATGTTTATTTGTTGAAAAAGCCCAAATATTTCTAAAGATCTATAGAAAAATAAACCAAGAAGAAAGGCCCGAAAAAGTCTTTCCAAAAAAGAGTAATCAGTAAAGGTTAATCTTACCAGATACTGAAATATGTAATAAGGCTTCAAAAATTATAACAATTCAACACAAATGCATAAAGAGACAAGAGATAAGTGGAAAAAAGTAAGTAATAGTTTCCAGAGATAGATCCAGAATGCACATGAAAATTTAGCATACAATAAAAACTGGCATTTCAAATTAGTAGGAAAAAGATTACTCAACAAATAGTGTTAGAACAGTTGATTGGTCATTTGGAAAAATATTAATTTGCAGCCATACATCACTATTCTAAAGTAAATTTATTCAAAAATAAATTCTAGATGCACAAAATATTTAACAAGCTTAATATTAAAAGTAAAACTATATAACTAACAAAAGAAAGCATGGAAGAATTATTTTTAATCTTAGTGTGAACAATGGCATTCTAATCAAGAATCAATAACAGAGGACAAAAACTAGACAATCTAAAATGTTTGTATGACACAAAAATCATAAACATGAAAAAAATGCAAACTGAGAAAAATACTTGTAAAGTACATGCCAAAGCGCTAATTTCTTTTATACACAGAGATTTCT